TCCGCCGCCGCCCACCGCCGCCTCCAGGCGGACGACCGGCGCCGGCGCGTCCGACTCGCCCGCCGTCCGGAGAAGCTCCGGAGGGCTTTTTCCCACCGGCGACAGGGTCGGCGGACGCGGGGGCCCCTCTTTGCGGCACGCGCGGGCCCTGTAGAGGGCGACGGCGATGACCAGCACCAAAACGGGCGGCGCCAGGCCGACCAGGACCACGGGGATCGCGTCTTTGCCCGGCGCGGGTGACAGACCTGAACAACGGCAACGGCGGTGGCGCGTCTGTGAAACGCCGCGCTACTTCCCGCGCGTTGGCACGTCGACGGGCCGACGTCACTCCACCGCGAGAGCGTCGCGACGGGTAGCGCGCGTCGTCGCTCACCGTCAGCGCGGCGGCGAAAGACGAGCTTGTCGTTGCACTCGTGGCGGCCGCGGCACGCGCACACCTTCAGCCCGCCCTCGGCCGGCGCCGCCGCGGTCATGCGGCACTCGTGGGACGTGGAGTTGAGCGGAAGCGCCCCCGCCCTCACGCCCTCCAACGGCCGCGTGGGATCGTGACACATGGTGCGCACGGACACGCTCGCGTTGGTCTCGCGCCTGCGCACAAGGAGCGCCGCCGCGTGAGTGCGCCCGCATCGCCGGAGCGGTCGCCGGAATGGCGCGTGGGCGCGTTCGCTCACCAGAGGGCCACGCAGATGTCGTGCGGGGACGAGCAGAAGGAGGACAGGGAGCAGTTGGAGAAGCACACGCGCTCCCCGCGGCGCTCGCCGCACGTCGGACTGGTCGCGTCGCACCACATGCACACGTTGAAGTTGAGATGGCCGCCAAACGCCGCCGCGGACACTAAGCGCACCGAAAACAACAACAACAACAACAACAGCGGCAGCGTTAATCGGGAGGGCAGATGTTCGAGCGTCAACTCCAAACAAATGGCTTCGGCTTACGCGGGACAACGGCGCCAAACAAGCACATCTTGCACCCGTGCCCGAAACGCAACGGGACGAGCGAATCGCGACGCGCTCCGGCCGGTCTGCCGCCGGTCTGCGAGAACGGCGGCACGGACGACGCGCCCCCTTCGTCCGCTCGGCGTGACCTCGCGGTCGGGCCTGCCCGGCCAAGCCTTGAAAAGATCCCGCGGGTCGGACGTCGGTCCCGCCGCGGCTGCGCCTTTTCCGGCCTTTGCGCTTCCGAGGCACTTTTGTCCCCGGGCGTTTTTTTCCTTTCAAGCGACTTTGCGAGCGTGCCGGCGAAGACGTCTTTTTTCTTTTTTTTCTTGGAGGCTCCACTTGGACGCACTTTGCTTTCTTGTCTTCTTTTTCACACGGTTCCCGTTTGGCCGTCGGCGAGACGTCTTTTCCGTTTCGTTGCGCGTTTGAATCCACGTCTGCTGCAACTTGACCGCCTTTCTTCCGGGTCAGCTTTCATTTCGGGATGTTTTGTTTTCACTTTGGTTTCATTCCGTCGTGTGATATTTGTTTCTTTTTAGGCGGCTGCTTGCGATCTGGCTCCAACGTTGGCCGGTCTCGATTTACAGCCCTTGTTTTCCAAATCGTTGCTTGTTTTTGGGCGGGGGCGACTTGTGGACAACATGGGGCTTTTTTGGAGGGGAGGGGGAAGGTATGGTGCCTCCTTCCCCCCGCGCCCTCACTGGTGCCCTCGACTCACTCGCTTGGCCGCTGACGGCTTCCGACGCGACTTGACTTCTTTTGACGCCCTCGTCCGACTCGTGCGCCGGCACCGCGCGCGCCCGCACGCACACTGGCGTCTTTTGTCTTCGCCGGCGAAGACGAGGGCGACTGGCACCGGGCTGCGCCCGAGCGCGCGTGCGAAGAGGCCCCGCGCAGACGACCGCGGATGTCGAGTGTGTGCCGGAGATGAGCGCGGAGGCTTTCGGCGCGAGTGGGGAGAGAAGAGGCGCGACGACGGCTCGGGAGACGCGCGGAAGGTCGTCAAAGGTCAAAGTCTGCTCCAGAAACGCGGAGCGTGGACCGCGCGGAGCTGCCTGCCGCTTTCGTCAGGCTACGGTGAAAACCAGGGAAGACGAAAAAGAAAGCAACGGCAACGGCAACCCCCCTTCTCATGTTCCGCCCCGATCCCACCACGCACACACACACAAAGTGGTGTCAAGTCGCACAACTCACAGCTGATGATGATGATGATGAGTTGGTTGGTCCACATGATGAAGACAATTGAAATCTCGGGGTCCAAATCAAAGAGCGCGGGGGCGCGCGTGGGGGCGCGCGAGCGAGTCCAGATGTTTTCCATCCAGATGTGAGCCGGCCCCGCCCACAGTGGCCAGCCATTGGTTCAGCCTTCCGTGACGTCACGAGCATGTGTTCATTTAAAACAACAAAAAAGAAATGAAATATCCTCTGAAATAAATATTCCAATGAAAATCATTGGAATCTTGCTCTTGCATTTAAGACGTCCTCTTTTTGGATGATTTACAAGTTTCCCCAGGTGTCGTTGACTTTTTGAAATTCTTTGTCCCGTTCGGCGCGAGACGACTCGTGTTGCTTTGCCGGCCCCTGCTGGCCATTGAGCGCAATTATTTCCTCGGCACGGCCTCTCGTGACGACCGCCCTGCTTCCGGGTTGCTCAAGCTTTCCCTTTCCGACGTCGCCTCTCGCTCTTGAGGCTTTTCTTCCCGCAAGTAACGAAGACGCCAAGATTGGATTTTGCTCCGGCTTCGGACTCGGGCCTTGGGAGCTCGTTTGCCGGCTCTCCACTTGTGTTGGGCGCACATTCGGAGAGAAGACGACGAGGGACCGAATGACGTCAAGAAGTTTGACCAACGGGAACGATTAACAGCCAAACGTTTTATTTTCAAAGTTAATGACAGCAAAAGACGACTCGGCACCAAAGAAGAAAAATCCAAACGAAGACACAGAGCGAGCCGAGCACTCGCCGTCGGCGCCGCTGCGCTTTTGGGCGCACCGCCTGCATTTGCTCGCGACGGAAGCCGACAGTGAAAAGCCCTCGGCTGGCAAACAACGTTCCAAACGGCCTCGTGGGCGAAAAGGCTACAAAGGGAGCATTTTGCCGCAATGCCGCGGGCTACGGCCTTTGGCCTGCGCCGCCCTCCCTAGCGTCTGGCCTGCATCATATCTAAAAAAAAAAAAAAAATCTCATCTTGAATCTTTTGTCATGACACCAATGTCAATATGTTGGAAAATGAAGTCAACAGTGAGTTGTAATTTCACGGCTTTAGTACGGCTGCAGTTTATTTTGTTTCTTCCCTAGTCCATCGCCCGCAAATGCTCCATTTGTGGCATCAAGGACGCCGGAAGGTCATTGCCAGTCAAAACATTTGGTGGACTCCACGTCGGCAGCTCCCCACTCCCAGAAGGAAGCCCGACGCTAACATAGTAGCACGTTGCGGTGAGAAAGCGCCATGAGCTGAGCGTTTGTCTCTTTGCCGGGTCCACCTCACATCTGCTCACCAGCAAGTCATTTTTATTTGGAAGAAATATTAAAGAGGAACTAAAGCAAGTGTGGACTTTTGGCAAAATGTTGTATGTGCCAGCAATGGTCAAAACACGCATCTGTGAATGATTTTTTTTTTGGGGGGGAGGGGGGGGGGGAAATAAGAAACACCGCAAATGATTCTTCCATCGCACATGGGAGCACGCGTGGCTCAGCAGGAAGTGCGAGCGTGTCATGCCGTCAGCATCCAAGGCCATTGGGCATGTTCATTTGATTTTTTTTTTGCCTTTGAAAAGTCGGTCGCTGGCCGTTGCGAGTGTAACGATAGCGCCATTAATTAGCCTTTTTTTTTGCATATACATTTAAAAGATGATTTGTTGACATGACACAGAACAATATTTTGGCATCTCGCACTGAGTTAAAAAACAAAAAAGTGTTAGGACCTATCGTCCGAAAGCGACGTGATGAGCGAAGAGCGGCGGCTAGCGCGTTGATGACCGCACGCTTAGCACGGGGCTTTGCGGAGAAACCTGGCGGATCCTCGGCGGCGGCCGCCGACAAAGTGCAAAGAGTCTGACGGTGCTCACGCGTGTGCCTCGGTGCTACGCTAAGCTAGGCCAGGCCGGGCTAGGTGTCGGCGTTTCCGTTCTCCTCGGGCTGCAGCTGCTCCTTCTCCAGGCAATCCTCCTGCGGGGGGCGCACTCGCTTGAAGAAGCCCAGCTGGACGCACACACGACACACACACACACAAGCATCAAATGGCCTTATCAGAGCCCATTCGACATTATCCCAACATGGAAACTGCGCGTGCGTGTCAGCAAGTCGCCGACATGGTTTTTACGCCGCATGAGGCGCTCGGCCGCAGACTTTTTCCCACCTTGGCGAGATTTGCCGTCAACGTTTGAGTCAAACATTCAACAGGTTAAGTTGCGGCTTGGAGCCGATTTGCTAAAGCGATGATGCGAGCGCAAAAGTCGTAAAGACACAAAGCTGTCGTCCGTCCGTCCTTGCCGAAATTTGACCAAGCAGAAGCTCTCCTCCCATTGGTTGGCAGACTTCACCCGAAAGCCAGAAGCAGAAATTCTGACGGCACTTGCCCTCAAAAGTCGACTTGCCGGGGCAGTCGGCCGATTTCAGTCAAGAGTTTTTTTTTTTTTCTTCACAGTGACGGCGGCCACTTGGAAGCGGCGTTGTTCGCTCACCTTGTACATGATGAAGATGAGCAGCGCCAGCAGCAGCAAGCCGGCCAGCACGGCCAGCGCCACCACCCATCCCGGCACCGGCTGGGGGGCGTCCGCCACCCACAGCACCGACACGCTAACCTGCGGCCAAAAAGACATTAGCGCGTCGAGCGCCGGCCGCCGCGCGCCCGCGTCTCACTCACGGTGGTGCTGTTGGACGGCAGCGTGGCCGGAATCTTCTTGTAGGGCATCTGGATGACGTTGAAGGAGGCGGACGACACCAACACGTACGAGCGGTTCTCGTTCTCCGCCTACGCGAGTGGACGCACACAACAAGGTCACGCCGTTCCGGAGCACACGCCCGCGCGAGCGCACGCGCGTGCGTACTCTGAGGAAGTTGTTGACGTCCAGTCGGGAGTAAATGAAGACGATGGCGTTCTTCTTCCTCTCCAGGCGGCCCACCTGACAGCGAAGCTTCACGCAGGCCGCCGCGCCGCAGTCCTGCACGTGCGCGCAAAGCCGTCAAGCCGCCGTCCGCGGCGGGCGGCGAGCGCCGACGCTTTTACCAGCTTGACGAGGTCGTCGTCTCGCGCCTCCAGATCCCGCTTGCGCAGGCGCTTGCGCTCGCGTCCTTCCGTCTGTCCGTCTCCGGCGCTGGCGTTTTTCAGCGCGGCCGACGCCGACGCCGGGGGGCTCTCCAGCTGTCGGCGGCAAAGCGGCATCAGCGTCCTTTGGGACGGCGCGTGAAAAGAAGCCGCGCGCCGGCGGCGGTAACGAGGCCCGACAAACGGGCCGCGACGAGCGCGCAAATGGCGTCTTACGGTGACGTTGCGCGGGTTGAGTCGCACGTCGGCGGAGCAGTTGACGGGTCCTTCCGTGTCCAAGTGGGTGATGTAGAGCAGGGAGGCGTTGTTGTACGCGTACGGCCACTCCACCTCCAGCGCCGCCCGGCTCAGCGTGCTGGGGCCGCTGTTCAGCAGCTGCGCGCAAAAGCACAAAAGCCATCCGGGCGCCGCCGGGCCCGCGGGCGGCCGCTCGGTGCCCGGGGACCTTCGACGCCCCGAGGCCGACACCCTCGGACGCGGCGCGCGCGTACCTCGTAGACGTGCACAATTTGCGGGCCGACGTCGTCGCCGGTGAGCGGAGGGACTTTGGGTTGCCAGTTGGCGATGGGAAGCAACAGCTGGCCGGGAGACGACGTGCTGCGAACGTCCGATCCCGGACAATCCGTCGTTAGTCGCGGCCGCCGCGAGACACTCGGCATCGAGTCAAACCATCAACGCGACACATCACACGAAAACGCGGACAGTCGCGCGACCGCTTCCGCCATCCGCGTCGAACGCGCACGGCGGTCGAGAGCAAAAGCGGACGCGCGTCTGCTGAAACGACGCCCAAATCGAGAGCGAGACCCATTTGAAGCTCGAGATGCCCGAGAGGCTCGTTTTTGCTTCCCCTTTCGAAAAGGTTTGGGCGCCCCTCGAGTCGAGTCCACGGGCTAACGGAAAAAAAAAAGTTCCTTTGACAAAGAGCCGCCACGTCAAGGCGCGAGCGAGCGTGCGTGCGTTACCCTCGTATGGAGACTTGCGCCACCACGATGAGCTTGGTGACGCTGGACACTCTGGCGCTGGTGCTGTTGAACTGGTTGGAGCTGCAAAGAAAGGCGTGAAAGGCGCGAGCCGAGCCCGAGGGGGCTCCTCTTGGCTCGGGGGGGACGGCGGCGGCGCGTCTGACCTGACCATCTGCAGGTCAAAGCGCACGTCCGTGTCGTCCTCCGACAGCTGATGGACGCCGAAGCGCAGCTCGGCCAGCACCTGCCCGCCAATCCCGAAGCGCCGCCGCCGCAGGAACGGGAACGGCGTCATGCCGGGGAGCGGGAAACAACTCCATGTGAGATGGGGGGGGGGGGGGGGGGGG